AGGTTTAAAGTGGCCAAGGTTGGAGACCCCTGTACTAAAGAGCCTAGGAAGATGAAGCCACAGGTGAGGCATTGCCAGACACCTAGAAACCTAACGGGGAAGCATTTAGTATTTATCTGGAGTTTCATAACTGGAAGTCAGGCTTAGGAATGTCTCCCCTTTCTTCCTCGCTGTGCCCCGGGAGCCGTGAGTAGCCAAGTCTCCGGTCCTCCTCTAGGCCAGGGTCTCCATCCTTTCCCCCCCTGGTCGGTACCAACCTGGCACTGGTTCAGCTCCTCGGTCAGGCTCCTGACTTCTTCCTCCAGCACAAAGATCCGGGATGCTGCCTCAGAAGCCGGATCCTTGCGTTTGGAAGAAGCCATGCTTAACTTGGACCGCGCTTGGATTACCCTAAAGATCACTTTTCACGCGCGTGTTTACCGACTTTCTGTGGGAACCGGGAGGAAAAGCGACTTGAGGTAACTAACAACAACGGGGGGGGGGGGGGAATAAACAAATCTTCGCAGACCGCCCAAGTTAGGCGCCATAAGAAGATTACAAACGCTCCCGAGAACCAATGAAACAAAAGCTTTCCCCAAGGCACCGCCTTCTTCTTCTTCTAATACCCACCCCAACGTCCTCCTTCTTTAAAAAAAAAAAAACACATTCAAGTAAGAACATGCGGGTGGCGCTGTGAACCACAGAAAAAAGGACGTAATGTCAGGTTGTCGGTTTAAATGAGTGAGCGGCAAAAGGCGGAAGTCAAAAAGAAGATGGTGGGGTATTAGGTTGTGTTTTTTTAGTATCTTTATAGGGCATGCGCAAAGCTTTCCCGCCTGACTGTTCCGCTGTTTTTAGTTTGGGACGCGGTTTTCGTTTCGGGGATTTGTCGTTTGAAAGTCATTTGCTTGCGAATCCCGCCTTTCTCATCAGATGGTTTTCGCCTCAACCAAACGTCGGTTAAAGCAACAAGCTACCGTTGCCTAAGCAAAAAACAATGAGTTGACAAGTTGCGTCCACAACTTTTGCGGCTTGAGTTGTATTAAATGTATTCTTCAGGACGTCATTGTGCATGGACCTTATTTTACATTAGGTTCCCCCAGAGCTCTATAGTTGATTGACCCATTCAAAAGTCAGATTAGCTTGCTGCACTTCTACATCTTTTAAGAATAACGGAGTTTCAGTGATGTAGCTGAAACGATACTTCTGGGGCAAATACAGGTAGTCCTTGACTTACAACAGTTGGTTTACACAAAGGTGCTTTTTCAGGAGGCAACTGGACTTTCTTGTTTTTTTTTCTTTTGAATACATTTCGCTTCTCATCCAAGAAGCTTCTTCAGCTCTGACAGGATTAGTAGGGAATGTAAGAGCTGAAGAAGCTACTTGGATGAGAAGCGAAACGTCTTGGAAAGAAAAAAACCAAAAAGTCCAGTTGCTTCCTGAAAAAACACGTTTGGGACAACCATGACCTGGATGACTGATAATCTCTACAGATTTTTAACAATTTCATGATCGAAGTTACAACGGCACTGAAAATAGTGACATGACCATTGTTCACACTAATAAACATCCTCATGGTAATGTGATTTACAATTGGATGCTTGACAACTGACTCATATTTATGATGGTTGCACCCCAGCTCCGCAAAGGGAGAAAACAATGCCATACATCATGTGACTGCAACATGACACTGCGAGTTTGACACCTGTGTTGTAAGAACTAGTGCAGATCCATATTAACAGCATCTATTGATCTATTTGTTTGGTAGGCAAATTGGTAAGGGGTCTAATAGCAGATCTGTGATGTTCTTCAGGTGGGCCAACTCTAGCCTTTCAAATATTTTCATAACTACGGATTCTTCATCTTACACATATGTCATAGTACCAATCCTAGAGGGAGACCGTCAGCTGGAGATAATTAAATGAAAGAAAAAGAATTCAGAATTCAACTCTGCTGGCAAAAACATTTCTTCAAATTATCAGGGGAAGAAATCAGGACAGATTGGGATGTTTGTTTGCTTTTTTTCAAATAGTCAAACTAGAAGTAGGGTGAGGTTTGACCTTGCACAGTGTGTGTAGGCTGTCACAGAAAATTTAAAAATTTGAGAACATTACCTGACATAAAGGGGATTGGTTGGAAAGTGAAACAAGTTAGAATTCATTCTCTCAGGGAGTGAAAAGTACATGGCCACCCAAAAGAAAAGAACAATACTTTTTAAACTTAGGTGTGGACTTGGAAGGGACAGCTAAGTCCACGGCCACCCAAGCTTCAAGCATTAACCAGAAGACATCAACAGTGAGATGAGGCCTTTGGGGATAGCAGCTGGGAATGTACACCCACACATCACACCATCCAGTTCAGGGGCCTCAATACAATTCACAAAACATAAGCTTACCCTATTCTCTAGTTTGGGGGAGCAGAAGAGTATTTTTCACTACAAGCTATTTCTCTGTAAGCACTGAAGCTGCAAACGAGCCCACTTCTTATACTAGAGAAAGCCATTTTATCAGAAAAGGACAGCACTTCAAGGATAAGAAAAAGTCTGCCCAAAGTCTATTAGCTAACAAAAGTGGGAAGATAGGGCCCAGAATATGAATCTTAGTAGGAAGAGAAATGGTAGGTTTCCTATGTGCACATGAAGCTGGGGGGTTTGTTTTTGTTTTTGTATGTATGGCTTTCTGATTTCATTAATACAGTTTGCTTATCTAATCTTTTATTTGCTTGGGAACGTCAAGCTGAGGGGGAAAAAAAGAGTGTTTTCTGGACATCCCTATTATGAAGTCTTGACAGCTTCTCCCTAAATATTGGGCTCCATAGCACGTTCATTTTGTATTCCCGCCTCCTACTTTCCTCAAAATAGTGGCTAATAATAAAATTCTAGTTAACATTTTGACATTTAATAACTGTAAACTTATTTTAAAAACTCATGTTTATACAAAACACCCAACGTACTAAAATCTAATTCTGTAACAAATTGGTTTAAGAGCTGAACGAAAAACATCTTTACCTGCCTGCAGAATTTCCACAGAGAGAAATTCAGTGGCTGTAGAAATTTATAGAATCTAGAAGCAACCACCAAAAGATCCGTTTTCAGATTTCTGACGAAGATGCTTTGAACAGTGATGGAGCCCAGAAAGCATCCTAAAGCTTCTGCTTCTTCATATGGTTGACTACAGTCTTTCAAAGTATAGGGCTTTTTAGATTATAAACAGTGCCCAGAATTATATTTGTACTCAACAAACTTGTTCCATCAAGCAAATTTCATATCTTGGTAATTGATCCTAGTTAAGACTCTGCAGCATTCTAGACCAGCTGAAGTGTCTAAGCGTTTCTGGGAGGGTTCTGACTCAGTTTAAAAAGTCATTCATCTTTGGCTCAGCTGGCAGAAAATCATCAACATAAAATTTGCAATTATCGGTAAGAGCCTCCATCCTACTTCTACAACTTATGTTCTGGCTCGCCCCTGAAATGTGGTATCTTGGTTTCAGGTGCACAAGACATGTCCAACGAAGCCATTTTTAAAATGCTTTGACTTTACTGCTTTCCCCCTTTCTGAACATCACTAGCCAGCGGGAAACCATCGCTATGATGGGTGGATGGTTTTGGCAAAGTTTAGCTGTCACTCAAATCTCACTACTCCCTAGACTCCTCCAGAAAGCCAATCAAATGATGGTCTGCCCAATAAAGCAGGAGGATTGTCCCATTTGTTAGGCAACATTTATCCCTGCCAGTTAGATGTTCAACAGCTGGAAGAACCACCAATATTGCAGTAACCATATCCTACCCCTTCCTCACCCTCCACCCCAAAAAGATGGGTCAGAATAAAGTGCTTTGGATCAAAATGGAAGGGGCAAACCTGAAATGATCCACAGATGGTAAGAAATCCCCCCACTAAAAAAGCCCCACAGCTTAAATGGGTTGTGGTATTTCAAACAGACTGGCAGCAGGACCAATCCAAGAATACATGAATCCAGGAATGAATCCAAGAGTTCCTTTTCCAGATGCAAATGAGAAGATGCTAGAGAGTCTAACTAATATAGCACAGATTTAGTTCCAGGGCCTTGGTCTACTTAGTCGTGACCAGGAACACCTGGAATGAGTTACTCTTCAATTATGTTTCCCTGATCCAATCCATTTGTAATATCAAAATAAATTAGAACTTTAACAGCTTCTGTATATTTAGGTAGAGACAGAATTGTATGTGATCAACATATTTATTTATTTATTTTGTCAAGTGATTATAAGATAGCAGGTATAAGTATATACATAGTTATGAATACATGAAATGGATGCATATAAGAAAAATAAAAGACACAATAAAAGAAACAATAGGACAGGGACGGTAGGCACATTGGTGCACTTATGCACACCCCCTATGCATGACATAGAACCCGAGAATTTCAGAAAATGCTGCAGCACTTTTAAACTGTAGGAGAGCCAGTTTAAAAATGTGAAGCGTGCAAACCAGCATCTGCATTTTCTTTGTCCCTCTATCCTGGCCATTTTTTACAGAGGCAAGGTTGAGAAAGCATTTTAACAAACTGCATCTCTGTTTGGTTTGGTGGCAGCAGTGCCTCAGACAGAAAATCCATTCAGAGCGTGGTAAGGACAACCAAGAAGATTATAGGAAGCTCGCTTCCTGTTATTCAGGATACTGCTTATAAGCGTTATATGCTTAAAGAGCTCAAAGCATTGTTAGAGACCCCACACATCCACTTCATGGTCTGCTTCTGTTGCTGCCATCTGGGAGAAGGTTTCAAAGTATTTTTAGGAGGACTTCCAAATTCTGTAACAGCTTTGTTCCCTAGGCCCGTGATGGCGAACCTATGCCACACATGCCATTTCCCCCAGTCCGCGACAGTCCGAAAGAGCCCCACTGCACATGAGCGTGTGCCACTGCCACCCGACAGCTGATTGTCGGGTATCTGGTGTGCATGCGCAGGGGGTGAAAGTGCGCAGGAGACATGCGTGCATGCACACAGATGCGCAGTGCACTCTGGGGGTTGCAGGCGCATGCTAAGACTGCAGGTGCAGGGGGTGTGGGGAGGGGCAGCACACATTGCCTTCAGCATGGGAGCCGAAAAAGGTTTGCCACCACTGCCCTAGGCCATTGGTCTAGTATACTCGCAAATGTATATGTAAATGTAAACGTATACATCCGAACTAGACTGTTGTTTCTCTGTGTCATATATGTGGGTAGGTGCATAATTTTGGATTTATTTATTTATCTTGTCATGTTTATGTAGTGTATATTAGAGGTGGACAATAAAGTTATTCTAAAGTCTAAGTCTATAGTTTAAGGAGTACCATATTAAACAAGATCTCTCCAAATTATAATTTAAATGCTGTTAGGCAATGATTGTGATTCTTCGTGATTTTATATGAGATTGTAAAAAAAGCATATTTTGTGTACCAGTTAATAAAAATGGAATCCCACAGTACAAAGGAGATGGGTGGGTTTAGGAAGTATTTGAAGTAAAAAAAAAAA